GGGGGGGGGGGATCATAGAATGGGCTGAGGTACCAGGTGCCTGAGGTAGATCACAAATACTGACGTGCGAACGATCCACATACTGCTTTAGAAGAACCCCGCCACTCGCTTGAGGCTACCCTTGTTCTCAATTCATTGCTTACTTTAGCATTTTTCATAGTTTTCAGGAAAAAACAAAACAAAATAAAAACAACGTCCCTTCAATATAATATGGCAGTGTTCTACCACACATCATAAAAAAAAATTACTTGTTCTCTTCTCAAACTTCGAAAAAATAGATTCATAAATATCTCTCTCTCTCTCTTATATATATGTATGTATATACATATACATATACACACACACAGAGGCCAGAGGGCCTGCGCGATCTGGGGAGACTGAAGCTTCAGTGATGAAGGAGATGAGCAAAGTTCCCCAGGACAGGTTTACAATTAAGGCCGCAGGGTTACCAGACATCAGCGAGAGCACAAAAAGAAAAATTAAAAGTATAATCCATTAACCTGGGTGTCCAGCAAGACACCGAGCCAGCTGATTGGGCAAAACGAAGCTAAGAGCAAGAGCAAGAGCCCCCCCCCCCCCCCCCCCCCCCCCCCCCCCCCCCCCCGTTCGAAATGCTTCTTCTTAAAAAGCAGAGGGACCCGAGATTTAGAGAAGGCAGATTCTGACTCAGGATGGAGGCAAATCCCCACCATTGCAGACAACTGACCAGAGCATCACTTGGTTTACCTATTTACAACAGAGTGGACTCCACAGAGTGGGACACCAGGAAAATCAGATCCCACCTCCTTCTTTTCTAAACTTGGCATTTCGCCCTACAATTGGTTAAGTCACTTAAGTAAAGCCAGCTGTGGATTCTGAGAGGTTGGTGGAACAGTGTGGGAGGTCGAGAGTGACACCTGTGTCAGAGGTCCAGAAATCAACATCTCCGGCACAGAAGAGGGTCACTGGAAAGATCCCGGTCACTGGAAAGATCCCACTCTCTCTCCCCAGAAAGCTGGCACAAAACAGCAGTAGCTGGGCTACAGACAAAACAGATCGACGCGTTAGTGAGTCTATTGTACAAGTTTACAGAGATAAAGGTCATTTCCTCATACACATTGACAGCCAACGGATCAGCCGAAAAAGAAACTAAAAATGCAATGAAGGCAAGAGCATCACACTGTTTAGGGTCCTACCTGTGTGCTTAGGTACCGTTTTCATACATTAATCCTATCATAAGTACATAGCATCTGAAACGTAACTAGGAAGAGCAGGATGGCTCTTGCTCACACTGGTTTGCACCTACGTTTAGGTACGTTTAGCACTGCTTGCAGGAAAGGCCAGGTGTTTGCAGTCTAGTGGTACAAATGCATGTTATACATGGTTCTTAAAGCAGAGTTTCCTGGGATTATGACATCGGCGCAGTCTTTTAGAACCACTTCTGGCGGGTATGTACCCTTCAATCCCAATTATTCCAGTCTACAAGCGTCTTTCTTTGATGACAACTGTAACGGATGTACGAGTAAGACGGGGTGGGGCCGCCGGGGAGAATCACACGTTCAATCCAACCCCCCCCCCCCCCCCCCCAACTGTGGAATTAGATTTGAAAGTTTTAGACTTTTTTTTTTCCCCCC